GTCTTTGTTTAGTACTATACATTGCACTGGTAACTTTTGGTATTAGAAAGATAATTATGCGCTAATATTCTTTAGTATGAAGTCGTTGAATCTACAGAAAGTAGGACATTTTTGTCGCAATTATTTGATAACGAATGTCTCACGGGGTTAAAGAAACGTAGAAAGACGGTGTTTACCGTTACTTCAATAAAAAATGTTGTTGTTAACAGGTAAAGGACTGAAGTATTCTTGCGAAAAGCATCATGTATTTTAATTGTTGTGAAACATTGCCACTGAGTTCCAAGAAGTAACGATTAGAGATGAGGAGATGGATTTACAAATAGCTTGATTGTCTTTATTCGAATCTGTTAAAATCTTAATTACCCGTGTCTTGAATAGTGCAGTTTTTCAATCGTTTATGTGTCTATATATAGATTTGCTGGCGGCATTAGACATTTATCATAATGACGTCACGTGACAACCGGATGTTACTATGTCATGAACGATCTTCTATTTTCCATTTCATTCAGTGTGCATGTGCTGTTCTAAATCTACCCGTGTTTAACTCCATTTGCAGTTTCGAATTTTTGTTGTATTCATATTTATCTGTTGTTAGTATAGGTAATAATATGAATGCCTCACTCTGTAAATGTTAAAAATACACAATGCAATGAAGGAATGCAATGCAATGCAATGCAATACGCAATGCAATGTAATGTAGGACTATGGGAAATCTCTCGGTATTCTGTGCTTCAGTATAAACTACGATCAGTTCATGATCGCGGTGAGACGTATCTCGATATTTCCATGATCATCTCTGTAGTTTGGGAAACAGCTTCAGTTTGCTTCCATTTGTATCGCTGTGACATTTCGCGTGCCGCAAGTTTCATTTACAACACAAAGGACTCGCCACAAAAAGCATCATGTGCAAATATCCATCACACTGAAAGCGAAATATGACGTGCATATAGCTTTTAACGTTATTGTTTTATGTGCATAGACGCCGGTCACTTAGGAGATAACAAACAACGTTATCACGCGCATATTGTCACACAATTAATATATATATAAATGTGCTAGCGTATGCTTTGCCTGGTATGCATTGTATCAGGAGTTAATGAGATTTTAGATAATGAGTTTATATTTAATGAGTTAATAGATTTTTGTCTCATTAACTCCTGATTGTATGTATGCGAAATATACATTGAAATGTATTGGCGCGAACCTGCATCTGTGTGCACGCAATTGATAGCTAAGTCGCAAAATGTAGCAACCAGGCAGCTGTTTATATGTGAGCCACATCAAGGCTCGTTAGTTGTATCAAGAGCGCATATTAAGTATACCCGCTCTTGGTATTAAGTATCAAGTAAATAATATCTATCTATCTATCTATCTATCTATCTATCTATCTATCTATCTATCTATCTATCTATCTATCTATCTACCTATCTCTCTATCTATCTATCTCTCTATCTATCTATCCATCCAATCCAATCCGTCCGTCAGCCCGTCCGTTTATCCATCTATCCATCTATCTATCTATCTATCTATTTATTTATCTATTTATAGCATTGGGTGTTTTGGCATGTGTGACTAGAAATTGGTACATTGATTTCTAATAAACCAGAATAATATTCCAATCATTTATCCAATGACAGTGTTGAGTGCTGTTGCGTGTGTCCTGGATATTTACTTCAGAAGTTCAGTAATTAAACTAGGTACAAAGTTGACATCTGATAAGTTCTCAGATTCTATAGAAATAATATAGGTATACTCTGTATATTTCTATCAAAGATCGTATAGTGCCGGTATAAGGCCTCCGGCACTATACGATCTTTGATTTCTATCTATACGCGTCTCTATATTTTTCTATGCAGAGGACCATGCAATCTAAAAACGGGCGCTGTTCAACAAATTTTGCCACGAACGTTGATGATAGTTCCTTTAGACATAATACGAAATATATACTTGGTTATTTATTTTATTGATTTTAACTTAGTGAAATATATTTGGAAGATTCCTGATTTTGCTAACCGCAAAGATGACGAATTAAAACACATTCTATACGGCCTGGTGGTTTATCTAAATCCCAATAGATGGCGCGAGAAAGACGGGCACAAGAAGAGTGAGAAAACGCAAGTATCTGGCATAAAAAGTTGAAATTCTTGATTTGGTCAATTCCTGCACATTCTGAGTAACCATGTCCGAAAGAAAAGTGTTAAATGTATGATTGTGATACTATCGACGATATTATATATATATATTGTACATTAGCAAAGTGGGGACGGCGTTAGGCGTTACGGTGGTGATGGTGGTTCCTAGGCTAAAATTTGGGTTTAGCCCTATACTTAGTACCATAGCCTATAGGCTAGGCTATGGACAAGAGTAGATAATAACACAAGAGTTACACACCCGGGGCCGGTTTCACGAAGCGTACTTAACTTAAGTATAATGAAATCACTACCGGGGTAATCATACTTAACTTCCCGTAATTATGATTAGATTAGTTAATCATACTCAAAAATCTGTTTCACGAAGCGATTTAAGTGCATATTTAACTAATCACATAATTAGCCGACTTCAACATGAATAGACTGGTACTCGCTCCCCTCTCGGCTTAGTTACTCGATGGGAATCGAGTAATCGAGGTGGGAGCGAGTACCAGTCTAAAACAAATTACACGGTACCGGTATTCAATATGGCGACCAATACGCCAAAAATATCTTCAAGTTCAGTACATGAAAAGGAATTAATTTGTAACTATAATGATTGAAGTAGTACAGCAAATCTTAGATAATTAAAATTTCCTTGGGAAAAAATTGAAGTAAAATTTCCAATTGGAAAATCTGCAGCGTACTTAATATACTAGTACTACCTACTTCTAAGTTCTACTAGCAACTAATTATGATTAGTGGATTTAATCATGCTCCTGAGTAGAATTAAATATTGTGATTAACTTAATCATGATTAAAGTTAATTACGCTTCGTGAAACAGTCACTTTAATTTAAGTACGAGAAGTTAATCATGATTAGTGATTTAATCACGATTCAATACTTAAGTACGCTTCGTGAAACAGTCACTTTAATTTAAGTACGAGAAGTTAATCATGATTAGTGATTTAATCACGATTCAATACTTAAGTACGCTTCGTGAAACAGTCACTTTAATTTAAGTACGAGAAGTTAATCATGATTAGTGATTTAATCACGATTCAATACTTAAGTACGCTTCGTGAAACAGTCACTTTAATTTAAGTACGAGAAGTTAAT